TAGGCAACCACTAATCTACTTTCTCTTTAGATTTGTCTGTTCTGACATTTCATATAAGTGGAAGCATACAATATGTGGTTTTTCGTGACTGGCTTCTTTCACTTAGCATAATGTTTTCAAAATTCATCTATATGGCAGCATTTGACAACACTTATTTTTAATGTTTGTATGTTTTCTTTGGAGAAATATCAGATACCTTGCCTGTTTTTAAATTTGGTTATTTGCCTTTTTATTATTGAGTTGTAGGACTTCTTATATAATGCTAGATACATGTTCCTTATCACAGATGATTTTCTCCCATTCCTTTCACTTTAAATATATATAGTCAATTTAAAAAAAATTTGTATCATGCAACCTTGCTGAACTTATTAGTTCTAGGAGGTTTTGGGGGAAAGATTTCTTGGGATTTTCTATGTAAACCATAATGTCATTTGCAGATAGGTACACTTTTACTTCTTCTTTTCTGTATGAATTTTATTTCCTTTTCTTGCCTTCTTGTAGTAGCTAGAACTTCCATTACTAAGTTGAATAAGTGGTAACAATGGACATCCTTGCCTTGTTCCCAATCATAAGGTGAATGCATTATGCATTTGGTTTTATATCATTGAGTGCAATGTCTGCTGTAGGTTTTTTTAATAGATACTCATTACCTAGTTGAGGAAGTTCCTCTTTATTTTTATTTTTTCTGAGAGTTTTTCTTATGAATAGGTAATGAATTTTATCAGATGATTTTTCTGTATTGATTGTTATGATCATGTGATTTTTTTCCCTTAGCTTGTTAATATTATGGATTACATTGATTGATTCTTGAATATTAGACAAGCCTTGCATTCTTGGACTAAATTAAAATTTTTATATATTGTTGAATTATTTTGCTAATACTTTGTTAAGAATTTTTGTGTTTATATTCTAGTATTGGTCTGTAGTTTTATTTTTTTTTTCCTTTCTCTCTCTCTCTTTTTTTTTTCACTACATGTACTATTAAAGTTTTATTCTTTTATACTGTCTTTTTCTGATTTTTGCATCAGGGTAGTTAGTACTAGCTTTGTAAAATGAGTTGGGGAGTGCTCCCTACTCTTTTGTTTTCTTGACGAGATTGTGTAAAATTGGTGTTAATTCTTTAAACATTTGGTAGAATTCTCTAATGAAATGATCTGGGCCAAATCTCTTTTTCAGAAGGTTTTAAATTATGAGTTTAATTTCTTTAATAGTTACAGGGCTATTCAAATTATTCATTTAATTTTGAGTGAGTTGTGTAAGTCTGTGCTTTTGAAGAATTGATCCATTTGCACATAAAGCAGGCCTCCTCATTACATGTGGGCAGGGCTGGGGGTTTCAGCTCCTTTCTAGACCTCTACTGACACCACTGGGGTTGGGGTGTGAGGTGAAAGCCCTGACTCCCTACTAGGCCTCCTCTAATACCACTCCAGTGGGTGTCTCATTACTGCTGGGTGGGAATGGGAATCTCAGGCACTACCTGGCAGGGGAAGGGAGTCTTATTACCATCTGGCAGGTAAGAAATTCTGACCTCTGGTATCACCCTTGCAGGTACAAGGGCTGGGGGAACATCTGAGAGGCAGGTTGGGGCACAACATTACAGCTTGGTGAGGGTGCAAATTTAGGCTCCCCACTTGGACTTTGCTGTCGTGTATGGAAGCAGGCCAGAGTTTTTTCTGTGGTGTTGGCTGGAGTGCAGGTTATTGTCTAAAAGTTGTATGTCTCACTATGCTGCTCTTTTCTTGGTTCATTAAGCAGGGGCTCCCCCCCTCCCCCTTTTGTCTTCCTCTATTGGCATTTCTGCATTCCTGGCTTTTTTAGCTTATCATCTGTGGTGTGAGGCAAAAATAAAACCCAGGGAACTCACCACTCTCTTGTTGCATGAGTTCCTAGGTCCCTAGCTGGTCCACCTTATCTTCACCTTCAGAGTCTTCTTAAGTTTGTTTTATATGTGGTGCCCAGGGATTTTAGTTATATAAAGCTGGAGCAGTTAGGAAAAAGTACATCTACTTGATCTTGCTGGAGGCGGAAGTTGGACTAGGATTGCTTTTTAATGGAAGAAAACAGGCAGAAATTAAGATGCATGAATTGTCCAGAAAGACACACTTAAGTTAGTTTTGGGTTAGTTACTTGGAAGTGACAACTATTTCTTTATTTCTTCAGAGATTATTTGTGTATATCTTTGTTCAGTAAAACCAAACTTTCTTTAGTTTTAGATCTTGTAAGAAGCTTGACAATTCAGTGAATTATTTCTGCGTTTAGATATAAATTCATAATAAATCTAAACTTCTGGTTTAGTACATGGCAGAGAAAAATTTATCTTTGTGAAAGATTAGTTTTATGGAGTAAAACTCAGTAACTCAGTTTGTTTTAGTGGTTGTCAGGATCTTGGAAGCTGTGGATCCTTATCTTAAAGACGAAGAAGAAAAAGGCAAAATGGTTAAGATCTATGTAAGAAAACTTTTGAGTCTATAATGTTCCAAAAAGATTGCTGGGTGTTTTTGGTGGAAAAGTATCTAGAGCACTTTTCCTTTTTATCTAATTCTATGGGGTTTATACCTTTCATTGATTTTGATTTATTTTACAATTTTCTAAGTTGTGAGTAACAGACAGTAATACAAATTGTTCTTTTCCTTAAACATGCAAAGGAATTTTGTTGGTTGGAAGAACAGTTGAAATACGGTTGATTGCTTTCCTATTTTGTGGAAGAAGCCAGTTTTGTATCTATTAAGCAAATTTGTTTCAGTATTCTACATTGGGTATATAAGTGTTTGCTCTTTGGATTCTCTTCTGAACCAGTTGAAACATATTTGTTCCCTAATTAATTAAGTAATTAATTAAAGTCATAGACTTGTGTTGATTTTGTATTTGTATTAGAGACACAGTGTTATTCTTTTGTTTTAGTTATCTTTAACAACTTGAATTCTGAATTTAGCTTGACTGGGCTTGAATTACAGCTGTAACACTTAACTCGTGTTGTGATTTGGCCAGGGAATTGTAATTTTTAATCTGTTTACCACTATAAAAAGAGGTTACTGTGCTGTTTTCTTTCCATGGTTATTGTGAGGATTAAAAGCAGTGTTATAAGTTACACACTTCTCCTAGTACCATGTATAGCATAAGAACTCTATGGTTTATTTTGCTTTTTTAAAAAATTTATTAAAAGTGTCATCCTTGCTTGGGGGCCATGCTAGTCTTCTCTGTATGGTTCCAATTTTAGTATATGTGCTGCTGAAGTGAGCATTTTGTTTGATTTTTACTTAGAAGGCTGTGGGCAACTAATTTTACCTTCCTGAAACTTAGTTTCTTAATCTGTTAAAAAAATGATGTGTAATTTTCACTTAGTTGTTAGGTAGTAAGTTTCATTAGCAATAATTGTAAAGAGTGGAATGAAGTAACTGACAATAGTTGCTTTTGGAGAGGATGGCATTTTTAATATGCAGTGACCTTGCTGCTCTGAGAAAGGAAAATGTAGAGTTTGATCTGGTAAGTCATTGGTCATTTGATTCAGTAAACAGTGATTGAGGTGACCTTGCTCTGCCTGGATTTATACTAGGAAGAAGCATTAGGGCTGGAAATGTGGCTTAACAGGGTAAGAAACTTTTTTTTTTTTCTTTTTGAGACAGAGTCTCACTCTTTCCCAGGCTAGGGTGCCTTGGTGTCAGTCTAGCTCTCAGCAACCTCAAACTCCTGGGCTCAAGCGATCCTCCTGCCTCGGCCTCCCAGAATGCTAGGATTACAGGTATGAGCCACTGTGCCCGGCCTAGCTTTCTGCTTTAAAGCAATTAGGAGGGTAGGTTCTGATAAATGGAAGGCTAAAACTGCCTTAAATATAGGAAGTAATATAAATAGCTGCCAAGGACCTTGATAGATGTGTAATGTTCTTCAGAGAGTAGGAACCAGAAAGGGCTAGATTTCGTTTAACCTAGAAATAACTGTTGGAGGTTTCAAGGGCAGTTTTGGGGTGAGTTAGGAGGTAGGGGTGATCAAAGAAGAGGGAGATAACTCAAGGTTATGTTATTTAAGTTGACCTTTCTCTCTGACCCTCAGTATTTTACAAATGTTTTACTTAGGTGTAGCAGGTGAAAGTGGGTGGAAGTGGAACAGAATTGGTGAAATGGTTGAGTTAGAAGAGGGGATCCTTAGAGGCTGAGAGATTTTAAGTATCCCAGAAATTAGCCTGGTCCAAGGGAAGATGTTGGCTTCCTGTGTGTTGTATAATTGGAGCAAACTGGGGGATGGTTTAAGCCAAGGACATTCCCAGCTACTGTTAAATTAGGATAATGAAAATAAGCCTCAATGCAGAGTCTACTATGTGAACCATAAGGGGCTTATGTATAAATAGATACCTACATTTATAACTGAGTAACATACATTTTGATGTAAGGAAATTAAGTACTATTATAAACAAAAGCAACAGTCTGCTCAGTACAAATATGTTTTAAAGTTTTTTGCAAAATAAAATGGTTCTTATAATTTGGTATCATGATTCAGGGAGTGAGGAGAATGTGGTCATGCCTGCGTTCTTTCTTTAGGAAGGTCTTTGAGTTTCTCTAGCCATCTTTGAAACTTGCATACATTGTGTGTTACAGATTGTGGGGAAAGGAACTGCTCCTTAGCCATTTCTTCTTGGGTTGGGATGTAGGCTCAGATTTTGTCCTTGCTATTCATATTCAGACTTAGGATATTGCTATCAGGGAGAAGCAGAAGCTCCAAGGACCCGGCCAGTGTTAACATTTCAGTCTCCAACTCTCCCTGGAACCTGAGGGGTGGCACACATATTGGGCTCTCACTTCACTGTTCTGGCATTCCTGTTCTAAGTACTACAACCAGCATAGTTCCCTGGCTTCCTGAGTTGCCTGTGAATTAATCCAGTCAGTACTGGAGTGTTTTAGTTCCCTGTGCCCATTATAACCTGTTAGTACCATGAACCATTTGACTAGCCCAGTGCACTGTTCCCAAACTCTGCTTTCTCTTTTTTCTCCCATTTGTCATGTTCACAGGCTGAAAGACAGAGTTGAGATTCTCTTCTGGGAAGCTGGCAACAAAAGGAGGATATGATATCTTGTGTTCCAGGGAAAAATAAATTGTGATGCTACTGAACCCATGGGCAATTAACAAGGCAGTTACTAGCTACTGAATGTACCTTCTGAAATCAGGACTGTAAAAGCTTTGGGTAAGTCTGTGTAATGGTTTCCATGTTTGTGGTTTTTATCTTTCTTCATGTATCTGAACACAAAGCTTTTTAAATTGATCATAATCGTTCCTGTTTATGTGGTGTTGTTGAAATGTTCTAATGCTTGCCTCATAACCTTTTCATTATAAAATAAACATTTATTTCTGTTGAAGAGATCTAAGTTTCCTGTTGATAGAAAATAAATTGGTATATTTCTATCAAAGAACAAAACCCAGCATTTCTGTTTGGCATTTGGTCATATGATTCTTTTGAATCTTTATGTCGAAAATTAGGCACTATTTTGTGTAGAGTCCAGAATATTAAATGGAATGTGTTCTAGAGTTCAGTCCTTACATTTTCTGCTGCATGTAGTAACTGACTTTTATTTAACTCTAACAGGTCATGTAGCAACTTATATGACACCATTAGGTGGTATCCTCCTTTTGGAGCAGTGAGGGTTCGGGGAGGTGGGAGCATTTATCTCTGTGGATAACTCTGACAGCTGATTCTGGCCATATCCTGTCCCAATCTCTAGGCTCATGATCTCCATCTGCCCAGTGTCCATCTGAAATTCCTGGCTGTTGCCTTCAGCCTTAATTTGTCCAGAACTAAATTCATTCTGAATTCCATATTCAGTTTCCTTTCAGAATATGTCTATTACTGTCTATTTAATTGTCCAGGCTTGAACCTTCATAGACAATTTGACCCCTGTTCACCCAAAGCCTTTTTTCTATTGCTTCTTCTTTCTTAATGCTTTTGATTTTTTCCATCTTATCTTTATACTTGCATTATTTCAATAGTCTACTAGTTGGTTTCTAAAATAATAGCTTCTATTTATTGTGCATGTGATATAATAAAGAATATATCTGGTCTTTGTCCCTGGTTCCTGACAATAAGCTTCAAAAACCTGTGGAATTTCCTGAGTGATGGAAGTATATCTTTTGTTATTTATAACAAGAGTCCCTTTGACCACACCTGAGTTTATGCTCATGAGGTGACTTTGGTGTGCCCTTAGACAGTTTCAAGGGAGAAGCTGTCTACATCAGACAGACCAAGATTGGGGTTGGGATTTTAGCTCTACCCCCAGTCTCTGGGGAAGGGAGAGGAACTTGAGAGCAAGCTCAATCACAGGGTCAGTGATTTAATCATGCTTAGGTAATGAAACCCCGAAGAAAAGCCCTGGAACAGTTGTGAACACATTGATATGCTGCAAGGGTGACACCTGGATTTCTTTCTTTCTTTTTTTTTTTTTTTTTCTTTTGGTGCCACTAACAGCTGAAAGACACCTGGATTTCTTAACAAGAGAGCATGGAAGCTTTGCTTCCCTCTACTGTCTTCCTCAGACTTTGCCCTGTGCGTCTTTTCCATTTGGTTTTACCTGAGTTACACCCTTTATGACGAAACTGTGATTAAGTTCAGTGCTTCCAGTGATTTCTGTGAGTTGTAGAGAATTATTGCACCTGAAGGGAGGTTTTGGGAACCCCTGAATTTGCAGTCAAGTTAGACATTAGTGCAGATAGCCTGAGGATTTCTGAAGTAAGAGCAGTCTTGTTGGGGACCTTGCTTTATAACTTGTGGAATCTGGTACTAACTCCAGATAGTGTCAGAACTAAACTGAATTGTAGGACACCAAATTTGTGTCAGAGTGCTTACACTTTGTTAGGCATTTGGTGTGTGTGCCACATGTGTTATTTCTTGTTATACTCACCAAGTGGGTTAAGACCTGGTTTTCTCATTCTTGTTTTACCCATAGAGGAAAGTAAAGTTATATATAACTGCCCAGGGTCACAGAGCAAGGAAATGATGAACTTAATGTTTTCTGATTTTAAAGCCCTTTACTTAACCCTTTATATTGAGCCAACTGCCTTTCTTTCTGTAGATGTTACTACCCTCCTCTAATCTGGCACTTGTGGACTAAGGACTGCTTTTTCTAAGTTAAACTTTTATCACATCATTTTTGAGCTCAGAAACTTTTAGTTACTCTCTATCACTGCAGAATAAAACCCATACTCCACCCCCCTAAGGTTTTTTTTTTTAACTTCAGAATATTACAGGGGTACAAATGTTTTAATTACATGTTTTGCTTTTATGCAGTATGAGTTGAAGTTGTAAGTGTGCCCATCACCAAGGTAGCATGGCATTGTACCTGTTAGGTGTAAATTTACTCGTCCTCTTCTCTCTCCCCCCTCCCACCTATTTGGTTTCTGTTGAGTTTTACTACCATATGTACACATGGGTGTTGATTGATTAGTTCCAATTTAATAGTGAGTACATGTGGTGTTTGTGTTTTCATTCTTCTGATACTTCCCTTAGAAGAATGATCTCTAGTTCCATCCAGTTGTTACAAAAGGTATTAGTTCACCATTTTATGGCTGTATAGTATTCCATAGTAGACATATACCACATTTTATTAATCTACTCATGTATTGATGGGTACTTAAGTTGATTACATGTCTTTGTGACTATGAATTGTGCTGCACTAAACATTCAAGTACACGTGTGTCTTTTTGATAAAAATGACTTTTTTCCTTTGGGGAGATACCCAATAGTGAGATTGCTGGATCAAATGATAGGTCTACTTTTAGTTTTTTGAGGAATCTCCTATTTTCCATAGAGGTTGTAATGGTTTGCAGTCCCACCAGCAGTGTATAAGTGTTCCTATCTTTCTACATCTATGCCAACATGTTGTTTTGGGACTTTTTGATAAAAGCCATTCTCACTGTGGTTAGATGATATCTCATTGTGGTTTTGATTTGCATTTCCCTGATGATTAGAGACTTTGAGTATTTTTTCATATGTTTATTGGCCATTAGTCTATCTTCTTTTGAAAAGGTTCTGTTCATGTCTTTTGCCCACTTTTTTATGGGGTTGTTTGATATTTTTCTTGCAGATTTGTTTGAGTTCTTTGTAGATTCTGGTTATTAGCCCTTTATTGAATGTATAGCATGGAAATATTTTCTCCCATTTTCTAGGTTGTCTATTCACTCTATTGATTGTTTCCTTGGCTGTACAGAGCTTTTTAGTTTAATCAAGTCCCATTTGTTAATTTTTGTTGTTGCTGTGATTGCCTTTGGGGTCATCTTCACAAATTCTTTGTCTAGGCCACTATCTAGAAGAGCTTTTTCAACGTTTTCATCTAGAATTCTTATAGTTTCATGTCTTAGGTTTAAATGAGTTGATTTTTATGAGTGGTGAGTGACAGATCCTTTTTTAGTCTTCTATGTGTGGCTGTCCAATTTTCCCAGCACCTTTGATTGAATAGGGATTCTTTTCCCCAGTGTGTGTTTTTGTCTTTGTCAAAGATCATATGGCAATATGAGGATGATTTTATATCCGGGTTCTCTGTTCTGATCCATAGATCTATGTCTCTGTTTTTGTGGCTGTTTTGGTTACTATAGCCTTGTAGCATAGCTTGAAGTCTGATAAAGTGATGCCTCCCGATTCATTTTTATTGCTTAAGGTCGTTTTGGCTATTTGAGGTCTTTTCTGGTTCTATATGAAGCACAGAACCATTTTTCCTAGATCTGTGAAAAATGACGTTGGTATTTTAATGGGGATTGCATTGAATCTGTAGATCACTTTGGGTAACATAGACATTTTAACAATGTTGATTCTGCCAATCCATGAGCATGATATGTTTTTCCATCTGTTTATGTCCTCTGCAATTTCCTTCCTCAGTGTTTTGTAGTTCTGCCTGTAGAGGTCTTTTACCTCCTTAGTTAAATATATTCCTAAGTATTTTATTTTCTTTGTTGTTATTGTGAAAGTTATTGAGTCAAACCCAAACTCCTTAGGCAGCCATTCAAGGCTCACCAGAGTCTAACAGGCTTAAATTAATATTGCTGTCTCAGTCTTTATATAGAACAAAGAATATAAACTCCTTTGTGTTTCTTGGGTGGGCCACTCAATCTGTATCTATAGTGAATTGCATTGAAGAGGGAACTGTGTCTTTTTGTTATATGTAAAGTATAATTGAAAAGTCAGAATTTATGAAAAGAATGTCAGTATAAAAATACCAAATGCTGACTGAGTAGTACAGGTAATTAAATGCTTCTGGTTCAAAAGAGGAAAACAGCTTATTGGAGCAGTTGTATTTTGAACTTGGTCTTGAAGAGGTGGTAGGATTTTGAGAATTGTGATTGGGGAGAGGACCCGTCTACTCCGAAATACCATAAGTGAAAAGGAATGAAGGGGATTGTTGAGCATCAATTGAAGGTGGTGTTGATGACAACAAATCCTTCAGTTTATCTGGAGCAGATCTTTTCTGAAGGCAGAGTCTACTCCCTGTCCCCAAACAAGTCTTGAAAGTTTCCACATACTGTTTTAACTAATTGAACTTGTGCTGAATCTTTGTTCTTTGAAGCTAGAGTTGTTTGGAATGAACCAAAAGCTATTTTAGGGCCAACCTAGGTGGTAAGGTTGGGTGACCATGTTGGTTAATACCCATTTTACTTAAAAATAAAAAAATACTTATTTTTACTTAAAAATATAGAAGAGAGAAAAACTCCATTTTTAATGATTATGCATGTCAGATACATGCATGTAGGTAGTTTAAGAGAGACTACAAAATTTGAGCACAGTTTCACTCATTTGATATTAGTAAAACAGACAAAACTTTTCTTGCATTTTTGAGAGACAAATAGATGAACTCTGTGAGAGTTTCTTGTATAAATCATGAGATTCCCAAGTTAGGTAGGGGTCAAGGGGAAACGTCCCCATTGCCCTCTGACGGTTTGCTGAAAATCACTGACAAAAGGCAGATTTAGGAAGAAAGGCATACAAATTTATTTGATTGTAGTTTTATAAGACATAAGAGCCTTCAGAATGAAGACCTAAAGATAACAGGGGAAACTGTCTATTTTTATCCTTAGGTTCAACAAATTACAGACAGCTAGGTAGATTGGATAAAGAGGCATAGGCTCATGGTAATAGACTGAGTGGGGAAGCCCAGCAAGGCCTGGCTGTTTAGATTTTTGGCCTCTGTGTGTACCATTTCTTCC